ACCACACACACACACAGGTATGAGCTGAGAAACACAAAATGCGCACCCTGTGTGTGGAGACAGGGGAGGATGGGAAGCATGAAGACTGTTAGCTTTTCAGCAGATGAAGATGAAGAATGTGAAACCATCAGATTCTCAGCCTTATTTTTCCAAAAAATTTAAAACTGCGTTCTGATACTGTTGGAGATATAAACACACATTAAATCTAGTTTATCATTCCACACACGCACAAAAGGCAGCGCCCTGCCAGGAAATTCATGAAATGCATGGCCATTTTGCATCTGCATACACACACAACACAACAACACACACACACACACACAAAACGCCACACGCGCACACACACACCTGAACGTGCCTCACAGGAGCTGCAGTTCCTTCTTCTTCAAACGAGACATCATAAAAACACACATAAGCCTCAGAATATAACACTGAGGCAGGTCTTTGGGACGCTCACGTTTGCGTCACCCATCCACGGTCCAGAGAGCCAGCAGCCCATGTCACCGGGCAAACACGAGGACAGCTGCACTCACTGTCCTATGAAAATCAACGATGCTGGCTTGCGCTTCCTCCAGCCAGATCGTCTCTTCCTCCTCCTCTCTCCTCCTCCTCTCCTCACTCTTTCTCCCTAAATCTGCTCCTCAGTGTGCTTTTCATATCACGTCCTCCTCAGCATCTGCCCTCTCCTCACTGTCCTCCTTCCGCTTTCTTTCTTCTCTTCTATATATCCCGTCTTTCTTTTCTTTTTTCACTATTGTGCTTCAGGCTTCTCTATTTTCCCCGCCCCTCCCCCTCCTTGTCACAGCTTTCCAGATTGGTAGGCATTCCTGCCACACACTCATGCATGCATGCACGCCCTGCAAACATAAAATCAGCGCCAGGCTACACAGTGCGTTCAGAAAAGGGAACGAGGGGAAACACACGCGCAGTCACACAGTGCAGGGATGTGTTTGAGTTGGTTGGCCTTTTAAGAGTCATCAGCCAATCGATGCAGTGCGTCGCTCCCTCTGGAGTTCTTCCTCTCTGGAGTGAAACTCCTCTCATGAAGCTTCGACATGTGCAGGGGGATTTTGGGCAGCCCCTTACTGCAGCGATGCACACCAGTACAGAGGAACACATCATCAACCATCCATCTTCTAGCTGTTAATCCAGGATCCTCCAGCAGGATGCTGCTCAAGGCATTCTGGAGATGGAAGTCGCGCGGCCCCGTCCAGTTTCTGTTTCAAATACGGATTCAAATTTGGAGAATCTACCCCTGCACAAATTGATTTTTTTAAAAAAGAGACCCCCCAATATGGGAAGGGACCCGAGGAACATGTCTAGTGTACGGGGCTTTCACCACTGGCAGTTTAGTTCAGATCCACTGTTTCCAGCTCAAGAACTGTGACGTTTGAGTTGGGATGTCGCCTTAACAGCTGGATCACTGCGCACAGGTCTTTTTGGGAAAATTTCTGTAAGTTGTACAAACTTGAATGCATATGTATTTGTCTACCTACTAATCATTTGTCTATTCAAGTTTTTTGTATGAGCTGCCAAAAAGGTCACAAGCAGAAGTTATCTCAGGGACACTTGGTTCAAGCAGCGTTTCGAAACCCAACAATTCTGGTAAACAAAGGTGCCCAACAAAGCTCTTAGACATTTCTTTTGTTTGGCTGCCAGAAAAAAGATTTTGAAACTTCAGGGCATTTGCCTTTATAGACAGCAGAAGGCAGAGGGAGGTAATGGAAGAGAGGAGGGGCACTTGCATGCAACAAACGTCGCCAGCCTTGAATTTAGCAGGTTTGCGGCTTGTGTCTGCATCTTTGTTTCGCGGTTTGGGGAAGTTTGCTAACTCCATTGGACAACTTGCCTTGGACTAGCATTACTGGCAAATTGATGGACAAAATCATCAAATACTTATCTTCAAAAGTGTAGCGATGCTGTTTAAGAAAAAAAAATAAAGCCAGAAAATGTTGTTACAATTTTGTTTCTTGCTCCAATATGTTTTGCCTCTACGTAAGCCTATCCCTAACCCTCGCAACGGTTTAAAAGTTACAAGAAATTACATTCTTAATGTATTTGGACAATTTCTTATTCCATTTCTTTACATATTGGATGACTTGGCGACCCTCATTAGTATGGATACCATCGCTGACCAAACATTGAAAGAATTTCAAACACAGGCGTTCAACACTAATCAACCTGGGAAACAGATATAAAGTCAACTAGTCTGTGCTACTATACAGCTGATAAAACCTGTTAGGTGATAGTTAGTGGGATAAAATTCCGCAATGTTCACTTGGGCCTTGACGTGGAGAGCTGGGCTTTTGTCTACCTGCCCCGCCCGGGTCTGAAATCAAGACCTAATTGTTTTAGACCCTTTCAGACATGCATTCCTTTATGCTTAAGGCCGATTGTTAACATTGTTGCATGGCTTAAATAAGCACCCAGGTTGTTTTTAGTAAATTCTAAAATTTGGCATTTTACTGGCGTTCCGACAATTTGGTTGATCCACTTTCAACACGGCACAAGTCTGAATTGAAAGGCTGCTAAAAACATGAAATGCACATCTTCTTCGGTCTTCAAAGATCACTCTTGATAAATGTTTTCGCTCAGTCGTCTTCTCGCTAATGAACAAAGAAAATGAAATTAGGTTGAATAAACCATGACACTATATAAGAATAATCAATATTTTAACAGATCAATCCATTCTTTCGCAGGGGGTCAAAAGCCCAGTTAAAAAATACTCCCCTTGGGGCGCCTTGAATAGCTCACCTGGAGGCTGGCCATACCAGGGCTGGAGTTCCTTGCTACTGCAACCATGCGGTTGCAACTGACCTGGTGGCCTTGGCCTGCTCATCCTCTCTCTTCTCTCTTCTCTCTCTCCCTTCCACTTTCCTTGTCACGTCTTCAGCTGTCCTATTCCAACTAAAGGCACCAAAGCCCCCCCCAAAAATCATGTTTGTAAAATTAAAAATACCCCCTACTGCCCAACACTTAATCTGACCAGCTACGTTGGGCTTTTCTTCCTCCTTATGGTATGACACTTTCTTGCTACAGGTGCAGCAACCACTAATGCAAGCAAAAGTCTTTGTGATTTGACTCTTGCATTTCAAAACTTGCTACTCCAGAATTTAGAGATTTTTTACATGTCTTGAATATCCCAACACAGCGGACATCATTCCCACGCTTAATGTGAATGCCAGGTCTCTCTAGTGATTTGGACAACGCGTCATCACTCCTGAGAGGACACTGCAGGGGGAGGACAGATCAGGGAGACGTCGGAATCCACAACATGGCAGAATCAGAAACCTCTCAAGATGGAGAGTAAACAGCCGCTCTTCTCCTCTGCCAGCTTACACACACACACACACATAACACATGTATGTAGGCTTCATTTCATCTGTTCACTCAGTGACCCTGCTTGACTGTATTGTTGGTTATGGGTAACCAACTTGGCCTTCCAAATATGTCAATGTATGTCGTGTGTGTCTGCGTGTGTGTCGCCTTAACCATTCAGCGAATTATCTTTTTAAGACATTTGAGGAGCTGAATCTGTGGCAGGAGGAACCTGCCACCGTGTAGAATACTGGGTGATTACCGGTGATACTGATTGGATGATAGATGTAGTGATGGATGTGTGTGTTTGGTGGTGTGGTGTGTCTGTGTGTGTGTGTGTGTGTGTGCTGTGGCTTCCTGCCTGGCTGCCTGCTGATGGGGCTTGCATCTGGATGCTGTCGCTGGGCTCTTGCCATTTCTGCTACTGAAGTACGGAGGCTGAGAGAGCAGGGAGACTTGGAGGGAGAAAGGAGAGAAGAGAAGAGGGTGAGCATGGTCAGAGTTACATACACGCACACACACTGTTAGAGCCTCAGCTGCCGACACACAGACCTGTCTGTGGCTCTAAAAAATGGAAAGCACACTTGGCTGTTGCTGAGAAAGCCACAAAGAAAAGAGTATACATTAGGAGAATTAATATTAACATCCACAGCCTTTGAAATAACAAGGTGGATAAAAACTGTAAATGTCAGATTACCAAAATGGTAGCTGTTATTTAGGGGGTTCTTCTTTCTTTTTTTTTTAAATGCATAGAGCCGGTTGCAGGGACAGTCCCACTCACTTATCAAAAATTCAATTTTTGTCCCAACAGTTTTACAGTTTAAGTGTCAGTGGAGTACAGTATTAGCATTTTTTTAGGACCAATTCAATGAGAATCAGTGGAATAAAATATGATATATTATAGACAGCCGTATGAAGAAATTCAAATTAGCCCCGCTGCAACCTTACAGTGATACTTACATTAGACTATCAATGATTATAAATTCATAATATAATACATGTGAAAAGGGGCATTTGGCATAATATGACTCAATATGACAATATTTTTTCATGCGAATTCTATTGTAACTGAGTATTTCTACACTGTGGTATTGGTACTTTTGCTTAAGTAAATAATCGCATTTTACCACTGCCAAAATGTCGAACTATTCTTCATTATTCTTGATCTTAAGGAGTGCTAGAAAACTATAAAAAATACATACAGTAGAGTATAACAAAGTACATTGTCTAATAAAACAATGGCCAAGCGTCAGGGACAAGGAAACACTGAATTTGTCTAAAAAAGAAGCCTATGAAGTATGTTAAAAATTATTTTAAAAAATACATAATACAGCCAGAAAATTGTATAAAAAGTTCCCCAAACAAGAAATAATCTACTGAAAATGCATCCAAATCCCTCGTTTTACACAAACTTCTTGCAGTTCACTTGGGTTCTTTGTACAGTTTTGATTATAGTATGGAATATCATTAACATATGTAACTTAGAGGGGTCAGTTTACCAAATTATAGAAAAGCCTTTGGAGACTTTCATTTGCGCGTTTAGTCCAGTTTGTCTCTAACAGGGACCTGTACAGCAACAGTCCGACGTATGGGCGGCCTGTGATTGGTCGGACTGCCAGAGCAGCGCTGTGATTGGTCGGACTGTCAGAGCGGCGCTGTGATTGGTCAGATTATCAGCGGCACCGCAGCGGGTTGAACAACACACTTTACCCTGACAACTTCAACTTCATCTTATTTAGCTCCTGTTTTGGCCATTTAACCCATTTGACCGCTTAATTTCGTCCCGAGGCACCGCCCGAAGGACCGCCATCATCAGACATCTCTAATGTCGTTTTTTCATGAAGCGTTAACTGACATTTAAACGCTGTTGTGACGAAGTATCGTTGTCTTCTGAGCTAACAGCTAACAGCTAACAGGAGCGACAGCAGCAGCACCGGCTCACAAGGTAACAGGAAACCCAGAGAAACTAGGAACCAGGAACATATATTACTTAGTTAACAAGTCTTTTACAAGTTCTAACTGAGTTTAGTGAGAAACTAACAACCTGCAGTCACTCTGGCCTGAAGATAGATTCAGATTCATTCTTTATTTTCCTCACATCACTGTTGTTACTCTTAAAAACCACATAATAACATGTGTTTGGAGCATTTACTAAATAACTCACCATCGGTGTTAATACAGCGTCCCTTCCTTTTCCTGCAGCAGCCTTTGGATTCAGTTCATTTATATGAAAATCAGCTTGAACCAGCACCAAACAGTAGAATGAAGTTCAGCACCAGTGTGTATAAAACGTACCAGAAAGGAAGAAATACAATTTTACTTAAGTCAAATAATACAAAAGCATAAAGTAGGAGACTGGATTGAAGTTGTAAATGAGTTGAATACAAAAACAATGTCTCGTATGAAGTCATAACCAGGTGCTATAACATGTTCAGATCTAATACACCTTTATTTGTCCTCCTAAATATGAAACAGTTCTTTAAATGTTTGTACTGGCAAGTTTATATATTAGAATGAGTTTAATCTGTAGTTTCTGTGTGTCCTTATTCAGCGGTGGGTTGTTGTAAAAGTATATTGATATGGTTGATTGATGATTGTATTGAATTCATCATGTTATCTCTGCTGGTTAAATCTTTTTTTAATGTTGTCTGAGTGTATTGTCACAGACTTTGTCTCTTTTTTTATGTTTCCAGAATATAGAGAAAGTGTGTCCTTTGCTTCTGGGCTGTAACGCTGCCACCTGTCATTCCTAAATTTAGATAAAATTAAAGTCCCTCCTAAGAGACCTCTGCAGCTCTCTGAACTAATGCGGTTGGCAAGTCATAACATTTATGCTTGGCACTTATTCTTAATCCTAAAAAGATGAAGAAGCAAAATGATGTTCTTGGACGCAATTAAAACCAAATTTGAATCTTGAGTGGCTTTATGCACACCCGCCCCCTGGCCTCGTTAACCTGTCTGTCTCTCTCCCCACAGCATGAACTGCCCCCCCACCAAGCGTCTCCGAGGTCTGAACCAGGATGTAGCCACGGCGATGGCCTTTGATGACCCATTTGGAGACGACGAGGACTTCACCCAGGACGACTTGGATGAGATCGATGTCATCGCGTCACAGGCCATCACCTCAGCTGCTGCATCTGGGCTTGGGTCTAAACCAGGAGTGAAACCAGTGGAGCCTCCCAGCGGGCCGTCCTGGGCTGCAGGGCAGAGCAAATCTGTGAGCAGAGCCACAAACAATCAGAGCAGAGAGAACACGTTTAGGTTCAGTAGCAGCAACAGAGGGAATGCTGGGATACCAAGCAGAGAGCCTCTCGGTGAGTTCAGAGCAGGACTGAACGCAGCTGAACGTTTTTTCCTCTGTTTGGCCAAATTATGTTCATATTTAAGGAAACAAACATTTATCAGTTTTCTTTCCTTCCAGGCAGCAATCGGTTTAATTTCATTTATGTGAAAATCTACCTGCGCATAAACACTGACTGTAACTCATCGCAGTCAGTGGAGACTGAAGATACAGCGAAAATAAACATTGAGAGTAAAAGATGACTTATTTACTTCTACATGTCTTTAAATGTGCTAAGACAGTCATTTAAACAATAAGTGTGAAAACACATGCAAAGTTATCTGTCCAGGTGGTGAGTCCAAAATATTGTAACTGTGAATTATATCTCATCTGAGCCTGTTAAATTTCTTCTTTATCACATTAAAAGTGCCACGTTTTGGCTCATTGTCTGGTACAGAGAGTCTGTTCCTCTGTATGTGACCAACAGCCAATGTGTGTTTGGCACAGATAACGGTTTTGTGTCCTTTCAGAGATAGAATTCACAAACACAAAGCTTTCCAATTTCTTGTAAATTTTAAAAAGCAGAAATGAAAGTGATAAATTTACTTGACGAAATCCTAGTTTGGTTTCTAATTTATGAGAATCTCCATTAAACTAATCTGAGGAACAAAAAAAATACACAACAGGAATGTTTTTATAAAGATAAACGATAAATGTGTTAACTTGGTTGTAAAGTGACATTTACATAAGGGTAGCAACATAAGCACAACCAACGAGCAAAAGAGGGAAACAGATGAAGATCCATACCTGTATGAGTCCATAAATGTAGAGAAAATACAGACAGAATATGTAAGGAGAGTTTGCAGATAAATAAGAAACTGATAAGTTTATAAATCCATTTGTCTTGTCTCTCGTTGTGTGTTGCATGCACATACTGTCAGGTAGGGAATCTGTGCATGTGTCTGCATTATTGTACACTGCACCAAGATGTGTTGATACACCTCTGCTTCACGACCGTGTTAAAACCTACACAACCACTGCAGTGTCCTTTAACAAGCAGATGTCAAACAGCGAACGCAGTAAGTGTTTTTCTGTTGAACATGTTGACATAAGCTCTGTTGTTTTCCGTTCAGGTAACAAGCAGCAGCACTTTGGGTCGGACAGAGAGGACTCCTGCAGTCTGCTGGAGGCTCAGCATGCAGAGCTAAAGAGGAAGGTGAGACGCTTCGATTTCTCACTTTATATGAAGCTTAAAAACATCCTACAGACACAAGATCAGCAGAGCAAGTTTAAAACGAATCATACTGGAAGATCAGCACAGTGAACAGAACTGCATAATCAGTGCACAGAGCCATAACAGCGCATTCAATATTCCATTTGCATGAGAGATTTTCACATGAATACATTTTCATTGTTTTCTATCACTTCAGATTTTTGTTAAGCAGGGCTCTTGTAAAGTGGCTTTATTTGATTAGCTCTGTTCAGGGACTACAAATGACTAATAACATGGCTACATATGGCACATACAGTACAACAACGTTTATTAATATGCACTTGCCATGTTAACCTTTTTAACATACAGTATTTCCCCTTAAGTAGCTTTAAGGATAACATTTTCCTCACTGTTTGACACTATCCTATACAGTATGTTCTGTATCAGATAGTTACAACTCTTCATAGAAGCTATGTGACATCTGCACCATTTCATCAGATGGACATTTTCTATATGACTATTGCTTCATTTGCACCATTTCCCCAAAGTTCAGCCTGACATTGTTGGTATTTTTTCAAACTTTGGTGTTTCTACTAGAATTTCAAATAAAGCACTGTGAGTTCAAACAATGTTTGGCTGCACAGCATGAGTTTGCAATGACTGGTCCACTGGTGTGCCACTGCTTTTTAAAGGGTTTTTGAATAAATAAATAACCAGTCCAGTCTCTAAAATTTATCTCTCTTTTTTAGAATATTGTTTTGAAAACATCTGAATCTGACTAGACATTTGATGTCAGCTTTTTAGTACATCAAAGTATTCGACAGTGACTTGTACAACCCTAGAACAGACTCTGGATAAATATGTCCTAATGAATGTGTATGTTATTAGCTGAAGGAGGTAGAGGAAGAGATTGTGTTGAAGAGCGGGGAGATCCGGGTCCTGAGGGACTCTCTGAAAGGTGCTCAGCAGGAGAAGGAGGCCCAGAGACAGAACCAGATCCTGCTGGAGACTCAGAGACAGAGAGAGCAGAGCGAGAGAGAGAAGGAGCTCAACAAGAAGGTGAGAAACCGAAACACACAAACGTATACAGTACATATAATCCTCAGAATAACATATAATGACATGTTGTCTATGTTCAGGTTCAATCTTTGCAGTCAGAGCTGCAGTTTAAAGAAGCAGAGATCAATGAGATAAAGACCAAACTGCACAGTTCAGACAGAAACAAGATGGCCTCCCCACTGCGTAGAAACAGGTCAGTATAAATAGTACTAACAAAAGACTTGATAATCAGTTAAATGTTTTACGTTATTTTACTCTATTTTATATCTTTGTAAACTGAATATTAGGGCCAATATGGATGTTTAAAAGAACAATTTGGCCAATTCAGATATTTAGTTTTTTATTATTTTGTGCCAGGGCAAATAAGAAATCTACAAATAAGACGTCTGCCTTGTTGCAGCTCAGTCTATTTCTGTTCTCATCCGAGATGTGAGACGCAGAGCCGCTCACTGTCCGTGTTTCTGCATGGAGCACATCAGTATTTGTGTGCAAGTGTGCTCGTGCTGCAAAATGGAGGTGATTATTTTTCCAATATCCGAGTTGGAAATAACCCACAACGCAACGTGTAGACAGCACAAAATTGATGTGACACAACAGATAAACGAATGAATGCCATTTTATTTGCAGATAGGCCGATGTCAGTCAACAAGGTGAATATCTGCTGAGGCTGTTGTAGCTTTGAGTTTTGAACTGTTAGTTGAACAAAACAAGACACTTGAAGATTTCAAAGATGACACTGTAGTGGAACTGTTGGCCACTGTGACCGTGGATATATTGAGGAGAAATGAATACAGCATTGGAGGTGGGGCTCCGCTCATTCCTATAAAAGTTGCTCAGTGGTGCATGAAGCCAAAGAAGCGACTATCTGCAGAAATTACCTGGATGAATGCATACTGTGGGCTGCAGCGGACCGTAGAGCATGCACACCAGAGACTTCTGCCAGCCGAGTCCTCCACTTATATAAATGGACATTAAAATGATTTAATCATGCAGTTCTTCTGGACTTAAAGGACCAAATTAATCAAATTGTGATAGTGGAAGAAGTAATTTCATGGGGATTGTTCTTTTAACAATGTGAGTTTATGGGTAAAAAAGTCTTTTCATACACAATAAACACGTTCTGTCTTTTTTTATTTATTTATTTATTTATTTTTCTTGTCTCAGTCCTAAAGTGCTGAGCAGTCTCGCCCAGTTGCATCATGGGAGCGGCAGCAGCTCCTCCTCTCCAACAGGAAATGGTTTCATCACCAAGGAGACGTTTGGAGCCCACGTACCGTGCAGAACAACTCCGGTGAAGACACCAGTGAAGACACGGAGAGATGTTGGAAACAGAGGGTCGTCTGGCAGCAGATCTGATGACAGACAGGAGGTGTCCCGTCCAGACCCCTTCCTGTCTGTCAGACCTGCACACCTGCAGCCCCGAGGTCAGTCTGTGTCAGTCTGCAGTGCCGTTTCCTTAGAGGATTTATGGAAATAAATAACCTGAAACACAGTTAAATAAAAACAATAATAAAGACATAAATAGCACACAAAGCTTTATTTATTTATCCATTAATTATATTACAAGTATGCAGGATTTAAATATTAACCAAAGTTAAATGTACTGTTTGACACTGATGAGTAAAGAAAACTGTTCCTGCTCCACACAGAAGAACACCTGTAAGTTTTCCCTCTACCCTGTAATCTGCTCAGTGTTCTCTGTAACCCGGAACTGATACTCAGTCAATCAGGTCAAAAACAAAACAACACTTCGTCTTTATCTACAGGAACAAAAAAGTTTGAAGCTTTACATAATAGTTCAGACAGATATTAAACCTTCCTAACATCACGCTGGAGTGTTTGTACATAATTATATCTGGTGATAACGCCGTTCTGACAGCAGTGGAGAGTCATTACCTCATTTTATAGACATAAAGGTCAGTCAGTACTGCTCAGCCTGTGAAAACAGTTGTTTAATGTCATCTGTCGCTCAGGATGATTTCATTCGACAGAAAACCTGAGTTACAAACTGGCAGCATAGAGTTTAAATTCATAATGTCTTTTTGTCAATCTCTGTACTTCCCTTTTTTAAAGTGTAAAGCACTTTGGTCAACTGTGGTGTACTCACTTGACTTGACATAAAATATTTATAAAGCATTTTCTAGGCAGGGAGGATCTAATAAAAGACTATATTAAGTTTCATCAAATTGCAGTGTTTTTGGAGCTAGGGACCAAAAATCTTAATATCTTGGACTTTTAAAAGATCTATTTTTGTCTCTGAAACGTGTGTGTGTGTTTTGTGTGTTGTCCTCCAGGTGCCGTCCTGCTGGGATTGTTGTTGCAGCAGCCCTTGTCTCCCAGTAGCCTTGGCCTCTCTCACTTGCTGTCTATGAGTCTGACTGACATCAACCTGACATCCAGGTAAACACCCAGCACTGTAACCATGACATATAACACTGACACAGCACTGTATAAGGAAAGTGTCTGCAGCAGTAACTTAAGAGAGAAATGGATATCGGTTCAATGTCTGAAGTGGCAGATTAAATCTGGCTCAGGGAGTGAACAAGCATCACGTACTCCTCCCTCATTATTACTACAGGAGTGCCCTTGAGTAAGGCATTTAACCCCCAGCTCCTTCAGTGAAGCAGCACAGTGGCAAACAGATCAATCAAAAGAGGATTCATGCTCATGAATGAAGTTACCCTGACTTAATACATTTGAGTAAACGCAATAATGCTGTGTGACAGGATCCTTCAGTTTCTTTCTAAAACTAACACACCAGACTTCCTTTTGAAAATCTTGCATTTAAGTCTACATCGCTCACTGAAAAAACACATACATATAGGACAATAGTAACACAAGACTATTAATAAAATGTGATTATGATCACATCAACTGTATCTAACAGAAGTCACTTAATGCATCAACCTCATTTCAGTCACCACACACCAAATCCACCAAAACACAAATATTAAGAAAAACCTCTTGTCATTTGTAAGGACATTGTCATTAACCTTTGTGATACGAGTTTGACTGGAGTAGTAGTAATCATAGTTTCAACAACAGTGGTGGTTGTTGAACTACTAGTAGTAACCATTACAGTTCAAACACAAAGGAGCTGAACTGTTATAAAAGACTAACCCATGTGATGTTGTGTTGTATGTCATGATTTCAGCAGCCTGTCAGCAGGTTTTCTCATCCACTCTGATGCTGCGGTCGGTGGCGGTGAAGGTGGAGCTCCCAGAGCTGCTCTGAGTCCGGTCCAGAGTCTTGCTGTAACTGGACTCAACATGCTGAGTCAGAGCCGACCGGAAGCTGCAGCCACTAGCAGAAACAAAAGGTAGACTGATGGACTGAGATATTACAGCTGCTCAGCTGAACCTTTACTAACTGTGATACCTGCTGCTCACTGAAGACTCCAAAACAACAAAGCACAGTTACAGCTGAACAGTTCTGTGGACAATAGAGCCCTCTTGTGGCCAAATGATGTAACTGCAGCACGAAAACACCCACATGTCAAAACACCATTTAACACCACCAATTAACTGTGTTAATGTAGATAATTACCAAATATTTACAGAGTCCCTGTGAACTGTATGCTGTTTTTCACTGATATATCAGCTTGCACATTCTGCAAGCCTGTATGCCAAATAATTACTTTGAAATACTCTCTTTACACTGAAGTAGCAACTTAAAAACACCAACAAGATTCAGTGGGTGCCTTTAAGGCAGGCTAAGGACGCCACAAGAGTTCATCTGTATTTTTATACTGTATATTTCTATAGACTTTTCACCATAAAAAAGCGAGCCAACATTTCCATCAACTACTATTTTGTTACATTTTTTCAAACAAACAGAAGAAATAAGAATCAAAATCCTTGATCGCGCCAACCCTTAAGTTTCAGAACCACTGATACTAAACTCACAAGCGAGTCTCTAAATGCTTTGTTCAATAGAGAGTGAGGACTTTCTCCTGACTTTCATTATTAGACTGGGTAGAAACAATTACAGAGTTTTAAAAAAAACCTGCATTGAAGAATCAATCCAAAGTCTTTAGGATGGTGACATGTGGAAGTAGTGTGACTTTAAACCATAAACCATATAATGTTGCTCGGGACATCCATTTTCAATGGTTTGTTTGTTTTTTAATGTTTTACAGAGGAGAGCATTATTTCAGGTAAGGGGCGTCCATGAAATATGATGGTATGTTTATTAGCAGCCATTTTTTGCCACCATTCAAGCAGCTAATTTGCAGTTCTTTGATCATTTGTTATGGCAAGACAGACAGACAGATAAATATTTATTTATCGTACATTACATACATTAAACGTACATTAAAATAAAATTAACTTAAAACACAGTAGCTACAGTAAAACAGTGCAAAACAATAAGCAGTGCAATGGAGTGGAGTGCAAATGGAAGTAAAACAGTGCAAATGGATGTGCAAATGAAGGTAGAAATTGTCCATTGTCTAT